CGCAGAAGGAAGCCCGGTCAGCCTCGCCTCCTCCAGGCTCCCCGGCCCGCCTCCCCTCCTCTCCCTTTCCCTTCCGCCTCCCGCCCTGGGGCCCCCAGCTCCCTCGCCCAGCTGGTGACCCGGCGGGGGCCGGCCCTTCGCGGCTGGTCCTCGCGCGTTCCGAGGTGCGGTCTGGACCTCTGCTGGCGGCACCCGAGGGGTCCGTAGCTGGGCCTCGAACCGCGGACGCCCCTTCGGCGCTCTGCAGGGGTCTCAGGACAGCCCACACCGCAGCGGCGACGAGGCCGCCCGGCTGAGCCCACAGCCGGCGATCGGGGACGACTCTCCCAGGCAAGTGCTATCTGGACTGGCACCTGGGGCTGGGGGGAGAAACCTGAGTGAGAAGAGGTGTCTGCAGCCGGAGGCGGGGTGGGAGTGGGAGCAGGGCGGGCCTTGCGCGAGGCTGAGCTGGACTGGGGCGATTTTAGCTGTCACAGGCCTGGCTCTGGGTTACACGGCCGTAATGACTCGGGACTATTCAGTAGCTGTCAAATGTCATGTATTTAAAACACTTCAAGACTGGGGCTGGCAGGTGACAGCGTGGTTGTGATGGCTGGACTCCCACATGGCTGACTACGGTTCGATTCCTGGACTTGGCAGCTTGCTTTCTCTCTCTTGGTCAACTTCAAAAAAATAAAATAATGGCAACGAGTAAAATTAAATAAAATAATTATTAAAAAAATAAAAATAAAACACTTCATGACATGAGAAAATACTCTCGATCTAATAGAAGAAAAATACAACCAATTTGTAAGAAACACAAACATGTTCATAGACTATAGTAATGAACTTGGATCTTTTATATAATATAGCATAACCTCCAATATGTAATGTATGTTAAAATAATATTCATTTTGTAAGAAACACACATGTGAAATATGCAGATAAGCATGTAATATCTAATTTTGAAGACTGCCTTGTACCCCATTTTTATAAAAGAATTATTTTATTTAACTTTATTTATTTATCTTAATTTGACCAGAGTGAGAGAGAAAGAGACAGTAAGAAAGAAACCCACCAGGTCTGAGACTCGAACCGTGGTTGACCATGTGGGAGTCCAGCACCCTTAACCACCACACCACCTTCTGGGCCCAGCTTGTACCCCTTTTAAGGCCTAGAGGGAGCAAAAATTTAATCTTGGTATCTTTTTTTTTTTTTTAAGAATTATTTTTTTTAATTTAT